CTTCTAAGCTATTTATCTCTCTAGATTCTGGTTCTTCAAATTTACCTAGTAATCTCTCTTCCCCTTTTTTCAGCTCTTTATAATCCTTTAAATTAATATTTTTAGACATTTCATTCAGCATTTTTTAGATGTTTTGGTGTGGGAATTGATTTAAATAATCTAGACTGCCATATCTGAAATCTAGAACACTTGTGAGTGTTTTCACAATCAAATCTCCAATTTGAAAATCTATTCCCTAGCAATATGAGAGACATGAATTAAAGCCTAGAGATATTAAGAAAAAGAAGCAATCTTTTGTGGAGAATCTTAAATAAAATAATGCACTAATGGAAGCAGGGTTGTGGCACTTGAATCTTCCTGTAGAATGCTAGCCCTGTTGTAAAGTGGAACAGTTCTTTCTGAAAGCAGCATTGCAGTGCGTAGTGTTATAATGTTTTTAGACATTATGACCACATGTCAAATTTTTACATAAAAGTCAAAATGCTGAAAATAACCCCAACAGTCAACATTAGTGGGATGCTTTAACAAATTATGATCGAGTAACATTATGGCCTTTTATATAGTTATTTAAAAAGATAATTATGATGACTATGTAAAAAATGGAATGTTTATGATATAACATTAAATGACAATCGGAGAACACAAAGTAACATGTTTCCCGTATAAAATAACGATCTGGAAGATAAAGAGCAAAAATCACAGGTAGTATTTCTATTTCACTAGAATGGAAGGACTAGGTACTTTTTTTCCCTTAAAAATTCCTTGAGTCTGTTACATAGTTTTCTCAAGAATAAAAACAGGGATTTCAAACTTTAAACTAATAATATTTTTTCCCAATTTCAGCATGAAACTTTGTCACATTAAAAAAAAAAAAGAAGTAATAGAAAGAAAAAAGGAAGGCAAAGAATAGTTTGAACTTATAATTGAGTAACTTGGAATCTGCAACCAGGCCAAGATTATTTCAGTTTCTTCCTTCTGTGATCTCTATGTAGCTCCCCCAAACAACCTTGGCTTCCTATAAGCTTAAAATTTATTTTTAAAAAAATGAAAAAAGAAACAAAAATCTGGGGCTAGGACTTTTATCATCAGACTTAGATTCAGTTCTCAATGAAGGAGGTTCAGAGAAGACACGTTTCTATCATTTGAAAATGATTTATCTGTTCTTTCGCTCTCTAGCAGGAAGGAGTATTGTAAATATATATTTATATATCATTATTCATTTTTAAAGCTATTTTGTCCTTTAAAAAGTTTTTTTTCCCCCTCAACTACACGTCTTTCCCCAGCTCTCTCATTCTTTGACTAAGGTGCTAATCCTTCTTCAATTCCAATTTTCAGTCTCTTTCTCAAAGTGACATTATCTGATTCTGTAATCAAAATTACAGCCCAACCACCTTTATTTGAATTGTACTACATTCCTAGCATGATTTATGGTGTATTACTGTATATTTACTTGCTTATCATCTGTCTCCAATATGAAATCTGCCAAAGGGTAAGAATCATTTCTGTTTGGTACACCCTATGCAAATACATTATTTAATATATTGCGTATTATATATTCATATATACAAACAAGTCTCTGCTTAGGTGTTTTTCCTAAGGCACAGTTTTACCTTCATGTTCTATTTTTCGGTTGTGAAGTCCTTTCGTTTTGATGCAATAAAAGTGACTTTAGGAAGAGAAGAGATTACTTTTGTGTTCAAATATAATTATTAAGGCAAGAAAATCATAAAACGTCACTTTTGCTTTGTTTTCTTTTTATTTTTTTATCCAGGAGAATTCAATGATTCTGCCAAGTCTGAGATGTTTATATTTCACAATGGAGGTGTACAGATCTTATGCAAATACCCTGATATTGTCCGACAATTTAAAATGCAGTTGCTGAAAGGGAAGAACACGCTCTGTGAGCTCAGTAAGACACAGGAAAGCGGAAACACGGTCTCCATTAAGAATCCGAACTTCTGTCAATTTGAATTATCCAATAACAGTGTCTCTTTTTTCCTGTATAACTTGGATAGTTCTCATGCCAGCTATTACATCTGCAAACTATCAATTTTTGATCCTCCTCCTTTTCATATAGATATACTAAGCAGAGAATATTTGAATATTTATGGTAAGACTTTTTTTCATCTTCTAAACTTAAGAGTACACATGCATTTTAACTGTTTTTCTCATTAGGGAAAACAAACAAATAAGTATCTTTTGCACCAGAGTTCATTTTGGTACAATTGATGGCAATAATTTATGATGAAATA